CCAGGAGATCACATTGAGACAGTACTGTCTCTTCTTCCAGTGAGACCTGGTCATTAACTAACTTTAACTACAACACGAATTACATGTTGTAAACAGTGTTGCCAACTTTTTCCAATGAAAAGTAGCTCAAGCCTGCCCAAAAAGTAGCTAAATATTGCCAAATTACATCACACACTAATTTGCATATATGCGACATCATCACGTAGTATCTGACAAGCATAAGTCTGTCATGTCTCTACTCTCTGAGGCACCATGTATTATATCATATTATATTATATTATATTATATTATATTATATTATATTATATTATATTATATTATCCATTCATTCATTAATTTTCTTGTCGGCTTAGTCCCTTTATTAATTCGGGGTCGCCACAGCGGAATGAACCTCCTATGTTATATTATATTATATTATATTATATTATATTATATTATATTATATTATATTATATTATATTATATTATATTATATTATATTAAAGCATTACATCCAGATGCACAATAAAGAGGTTCTTATTAACATATTACTTTGTGTGATGACGTCAATGCGTAATTGCAACTCAAAACTACATCTCTGTGTAGTATACAAAATAATTAATGTTTTCTCAAACTGACTTAGCAAAAACATTATTTGAAATATGTCTATTTAGATTTGTATAAAAATAGAGTTGACTATCTGTGAAAGTATTTTTTAAAACACTTATTTTTATTATTTTTAAATTTAATACTGATAATAAACAGTGAAATTCTGTAAAACAATCATAGCTTCTGAACTTACTCTTTTTAATTTAAAGTTAACACATTTGTGAAAGTGACAACAATTATAGAACTATTGGAATGTATTGCTACCTAAATTACCAACATGTGAACAAATATCAGTAAATGAACAGTTATGAAAAACAATCTGAGTTAGCAATTTACTCTACTGAGTGAAGCCTGCAGACACTGCTCTTTTGAGGCACTTTTTAAAAATTGCTAAAAGTAGCCAAATCAATGTTAAAAATTGCTAAAGCTGTTGCTACGTGCTTTTTGAAAAAAAAAAGTTGCTAGAGTAGTATGGAAAGTTGCTTAATCTAGCAACAAAATTGCTAAGTTGGCAACACTGGTTGTAAATAAGGGCTACCTTAGTTACATGTTAATACATGTTGTTAATTAATGTATTTATTAACCTTTAAGCTTAAGTTATATGTTACCCACATAAACTCATGAGCTGTTCATGTATAATTATGTTATGACTTTACTTGGAGGGGCACATCATCATTGACTCATCCTTCAAAACTCCTGTGTTTAAACTGTTCATGTTGATGTTGACTGAACACTTTTCTGTGGTTATTCAGTGTAAACGCACAAGACGGACATGCATGAGGAGTTTATGAGTGGTTAAGAATGGGTTAATGATGATGTGCCCCTCTAAGTAAAGTCATGATATGATTACACATGAATATATCATGAGTTCATGTGTAAATAACGGCCATCTTAATTACTTGTTGTTAATTAATGTACTTATTAACATTCAAGTTAAAGTTAAATGTAACCAACAGAAACTCATGAGCTGTTAATGTATAATTATGCCATGACTTTACTTGGAGGTGCACACCACTATTAACTCATCCTTCATAACTCCTGTGTTTAAACTGTTCATGTTGACTGAACACTTTTCTGTGGTTATTCAGTGCAAGCGCACTAGAAGGACGTGCATAAGGAGTTCATGGGTCGTTAAGAATGGGTTAACGATGATGTACCTCTTTAAGTAAAGTCATGATATAATTATACATGAACATGTCATGAGTTCATGTTGGTTACATTTAGCTTAAACTTAAATGTCAATCAATACATGAATTAACAACATGTACTAACATATAAGTAATTAAGATTACTCATTATTCACACATGAACTCTTGTGACTCGTGTTATACTTAAAGTTAGTTCATGACTACTAACTACTAAAGTTAGTTATTGATTTAATTATTACATTAATTAACAAACAAACATACTAACATGTAATTAAGGAAGTCGTTATTCCCACATGAGCTCTTGCAATTCATGTTGTAGTTAAAGTTAGTTCATGATTAGCGCACTAATTAACTCATCATTAGTTCATCATAAAGTAATGTTTAGTTTATATATTAACACATCATTATTCATGTACTGTTATTGTAAAGTTTCACCGAATAAGTACTGAGAGTGTAATTTACATAACCAACCCAATATATCATTACAGCAACTAAAATAAGTCACTTTGTTAAACTGCACAAAAAAAGAGATATCAAAGTCCCATAATGCAATTGAAATGTAAATAAACAGCCATGAATCACGAGGGCAATGTAAAACACAGTCACACATACAGTACGTATGCATTTTACACTGTAAAAGGAAACAAGAGTTTTAACTAGTCAACATGATTTTATGATTTTATTCTGGAGAGTCTTGGTCTGATCAGTTACCAGAGACAGAAAACAAACAGTCCCAGAAAAAATTTGGCGCTTCTCTATAGCATAAACAAATCTGTTCAGCGTTACTGGAATTTGACGCAGTGAGGATGTGCTGCCCTCTGCTGGTTATGATAGGCTATATATATGCACGAAGCAGAAATTATTTAAGGCTTTAAAAAACAAATGGTGACATGAGCTTTCATGTTAAAATCCTATGCTTTTTATGATTACTGGAAATACAGAACTAGAATAAAGCGTTATTATATTACACAGGAAAGTTAAAAGAGTATAATGCTTTATTGATGTCATGCTTTCGTTCTTTTTGCTTAACAGAGTACACCCCATTTGGAAAATAAATATTTTTTAACAATTTCTCAGTGAATATGAGTAATATATATTGGTGCAATTGAACAGATTTATTAAACAGATATATTTATTAAAATAATATTTCAGCCATAGAACATCTTTAGAAATGGAAAGATAATACATTTAAATTCATGCAAAATATTGGAAAAAAAAAGTAAAATAACATTTCAACAAAATTGTATATATGTTTTTGCTTCTCTTGATTTTTCCGCTGTTTTAAATTTTTTTTCATTAAATATTGTTCCTTAACATATAAATTTGGGCTACTAATTTTTAAACCATTATTGTAAGTTATTATCTTACAATCTAGATTTGGCTTCTATCTATATGTATATCTATATCTATATATGATATATCTAATGTATATGCACAAATATACGATTGTAAAGCATCCAATAGAAAATATTTATTTAAATGAGAGATTCGTGGAGGCTGTACTCAAATATGCTGAGCCCTGTAGACAGTACATAGGACATTTTGATATTATACAATATATACGATAATATATATTTTTATTTTTCCATTAATAATTATTTTTTATATATATACTGATGTGGGAAAAATTAATTAACTGATGCATATAAGATTTTCATAAATACTGGAAAATTAAAAAAAGAATAATGCCTAAATTTTATTATATCTATGATAAAATAGGACACATATATAAAACACATAACATTATAAAACATTGTTTAATATTAATACGATAACATAATATAACTCTTAATATTATAAATAAATGTAATTCGCATAATGACTTAATAATAATACATTTTTATTTTAATAAAAGTAATTTTAATTCTAAAAACAACTTTGTAATCACAATATTATTAACTATGTCTATTAGTTAAATGTAGTTGTATATTTAAATGTAGTTGTTAAATTTAGATGTTCATTGCTAACAATGTATTTAAAAAATATGTAATTGTAGTAATTGCTTATTGATTATTATTAATAACAAATAAAATATATTAGATCTTAATTAGTTAATTAATTGTTTTATAATTGACAATATAAATTATATAATATTTGGTATGCATTATTCTTTTCCAGATTAAATTTTTTTTTATTTTTAATATTATCATCAAATAATTGATAATAATTAATTCAAATAGGCTTAACTAGGTTAATTATGGCAGGTTAGAGTAATTAGGCAAGTTATTGTATAACGATGGTTTGTTCTGTGGACTATTGAAAAAAAAAAAGCTTAAAAAGGCTGATAATTTCAATAGTTTGTGGATGCAGCCTTTATGATGCAAGCTGAGATTGCACCACTCAGCAATGCAATCTCAGACACAATGCACTCAATGGAGTGAGTGATGTCACTGTGACGGGTAGGTTAGAGGTGGGGTTAGGTGAGCGCATTAAAAAGCATTGGATGCAGCTAACATTGCACTGCACTAGGTCTGCAGCCAGAAACCTCTCGATAATTTTGATCTTAAAATGATTTAAAAAAATAAAAACTGCTTTTATTCTAGCCAAAATAAAACAAATAAAGACTTTCTCCAGAAGAAAAAACATAAACAGATATACTGTGAAAATTTCCTTGCTCCGTCAAACATCATTTGAGAAATATTTAAAAAAAAATTAAAATAAAATAAAATAAAAGGGAGGCTTATAATTCAGACTTAAAAACTATATATATATATATATATATATATATATATATATATATATATATATATATATATATATATATATATATATATATATATATATTCTAAAGTATATGCATTTATAATATCTAAATATTGGAACATTTTTTATACAATAATCTAAATAATATACATTCATATATCTAAAATAATATACATTAATATGTCTAAATAATGGAAAATAATATACATGCATATGGACTAAATAAATCAAATAAATGCTTCTAAATACTTCAAAAGGAATCTAAAACATTATACTACTTTTCAGGTGTCAAATCCAGTTCCAAATACAGCTCTTTAGTTCCAATCCTGCTTCAACACACTTACCTGTAGGTTTTAAACAAAACAAAAGGACTCAATTAGTGTGATCCGGGGTATTGGAACTAAACTGCAGAGCTGTGGTTCTCCAGGAACTGGATTTGACAGCTGTGAACTAGCAGAACAGTACAACTAAAGCTGAAGGGAAAATGATGAAAAGTGTTTTATGTAACAAACAAAGTCATAAAACTCATGCATTTTAGGCTCAAATATACAACAAAAACCCTTCACAGTTTCAACTGTAAAGATTTCATTCATCAACACTCATAATGAAAAAAACAACATAGAAAATTCAGAACAATCCTCCTCCGTTCTATTTAAAAGGAGAAGTGAAGTCCAGAAGGGGTTAAATTGACAGCGAGTGCACTGAGAAGGAAAATGATCTGCATGACTATAGTGATGATCTAATCTCAAGCTCTGACTGCCAGCTAATAACCCGTACACCAAACAAAAGAGCTACATTTGCTTAGACGTGAGAATCCCATTTAGTTATTGATTCAGCAGCTGATGAGGTGCATCTGCTAAAGGATGTTCACTCCTCATATCCTGATGGGAGCTCTATGGCCTGAGACTGGCAGACAGAGAAGAGAGGAGCCTTTTAAACATACCCATGACTATTAAAGCAAGACTCTGAGGGCTAAAACATCTGCCATTTTGGATATTTGGGCCTTTTTTGTCTTTTCATAAAGTGTTTTTCCAGTTTTTATAACACATTATTAATTAGCATTTTAATTGCAATACATACTGTATTTTCAAGTCTCAAAATGATTTTTTTTTCTCCTGCACTGAGCCATACATCTATATAAAGCACTATATACAAACATATCTGTATTCTGAAGGTTTTCACAGAGAGATTTATTTATGTATAACAAGCCTGATGATCAGTTTAAAAACTATATTATATCATATTTTAGTCTACATATAGATATTTTTAACTCTTTGCTTTTGGTTGTTTGTAGTAGGGATGTCCAGATCCGATCACATGATCAGAAATCGGGCCCAATCACACAGTTTCAGACTCGATCGGAAGTAGATGTTACCTCCCGATTAGGACTCGAATATTTATGTATGCTCTCATTATTTTTAACACATCTATAGTTATGCGGTGGCACTTTGTTGCAGAGACGCTATTGGTTAAATGTCGGAAAATTAGAACACGAAATTAGCTTAAACGGAAAGCGCAGGTATGTCTGCTGTCTGGAGGTATTATAAAGTTGATGACAACATTGCCATAGCGAACTGTGAGATATGTAATCTTGCCGGGTATTTTAAGTTGAGCTGCTACTTGTTTTTAAATTATAATTTTGTAAATTTACTGTTGCATTAAAGTCCGAAGGTGAAGAATCTATGTTTTTTTTTTACTTGATTGTTCAAGCTACCATTCAGAAGTTCTCTGTTTGTTAACAGAGTTGTTGAATGTTAAAATAAGGTTAATTCAATAAAACATAAGGAACATCCTGGATCTGTTTCTTCGCACTTCTTTAATCTTCTGTTATGTATTATAGAAGTATCGGATCGGGTTTCGGTATCGGTAGATACTCAAAATCAAATCACTTGGGACATCCCTAGTTTGCAGTCTTTTCTATATGGATTGAAAATGAGATTCCCCAAATCCCAATGTGCTGATTTTTGTTCTGCAAGTTTATGCAAATTTGGTCAGATTTAATAAAAAAGGCTCATTTGCATATTCAAACATAACATTTTAGAAAACTTGTAATACAAAAAAAAAATGTTTGCAAATTTTAATGTAATCAATCAACTTTTTACCATGGTGATAACTATTAGTTTGTTTGTTTTTTACCCACAGTATCTTGCATTAGAGTCAGTAGCTGTGTTTCCATCCAAAGCTGTGAATTTGAACGTACTTTATGCGCAAAATTACAATTTTACATAAAATGTTTGCGAATAAAACACTGTTTCCATGCCATGTGTTCAAGAAAATAAAAATGGAAAATTTTTGGGAAACTATTGTAACATAAACTACAACTATTTCTTCGATTTTTGATTTAATTCGTATGAATTTGTATGATCTTATTTGTACATTTTAGTACGATTTGTCATCTTCCAATGTGGGTTGGGTTCAGGGGTGGGATTTGGGGACACACCTCCTTTTAAATATTGTATGTTTTTTGCATAACTATTTTATATAATGGCGAACAAGTGGCTAATTTGTACAAATTTACACAATGTATTTAGCATGAATAAGCCACTTTTTTGTTTTACAAATTAGCCACTTTTCCGCCAATATGCAAAATAGTTATGCTTAGTCTTTAGATCAAGCTGAAGAAATTGCTTTATCTTCTTTTAATGAGTTCGCAAGCACAGATAATATAAGAACTGAAAGTGTATTTGGTGTGCTGTCCAGTAAGAGAGTTCTGAGTTTGAAAAGACTCCCAATCCGCTCCTTTGTCAAGAAATGACGCCTTAGCATCGAATTCGCTCCCAGAATGCTCCCCCCCCTCCCCTCACTTGAAAAGGGAAGTGGTCTCTTAAAAATGCAGAATTTGGGTGGCGGAGGGATGTTGGATCGAGAAATAAGGAAGCTACTGTAGAACTTTCAAATTATTTATAGCATTTTTTATTGGAAATGATTGTATGATAGTGTGATTGCTTATGATAGGGAAACCCTATTAATTATCTTAGTGTGCTACACTTGAGCAAGTTAAATAACTTCACTTTTCTGCATATTAAAAAATTGTGTCTATAAGAGCTGCAGAAGAAACACGCAATATGAAATTTGCTCATGTTATCTCACGTTTTTTATGCAGTGCTTGATATTTGTGAAACACTTATGTTAGAGTTCTAGGAGAAAATTCTACAAATTAAGTTGGGGATGGACTTCCACTCATGTGTATGCAGAATTAAGGTCACACTAGATTTTGGCGTATGGTGCTGCGAAAAGGGCTGGGATTAAACAAAATGATTAGACGAAAAATAAATGATTAGATAAATATGACTTTCTGTGTAGAGAGGTGATGTTTTGATCTTCTATTTGTCGTGATGTGATTGTGATTTCGCAGGTCAGTGTTCCCCAAGCTTGAACTTTGCAATGCAGTGACATGCGAAACTTGTCGCATAAGCTTGCCCTTCCAGTCATTCTCATGGATATGAATGAAAGCCTATGTGGCGTGTAAGATGAGATTGGTTCACTGTTTTATCACATCTTTTAAGGCAAAATCACATGACCTTTGACCACATCAAGGAAAAATGTGTTTTAATCGTAAAAACAAAAAGTATCTAATTTATTAAAAATGTAATAAAAGATTTTTAAATTTAAGCGCATCTTGGTGTTTTCATTCAGTGTTTTTTTATTATTTCAAATTCTACAATGTGGATGGAAACATAGCTATTGTGTGGCAGTCTAAATGAGCTCTGTCTCTTTGAGCTGATGGATGTATTGCATTGTGTTTTGTTGTTCCTCCTCAGTGCTTCTCACTAGTCATACGGATGACAGCACCTCTCCGGTGGACTCGCGCTCCTTCTTCTCCAAATCCAGCACTCTGAGTGCCGCCTGCTTGGCCATGAGCTGAGCCTGATCGCTGGGGTACGAGTCTGTGTCCACCACTCGATATGGCTCCATCTGGAAGGGGCTCTTGGAGAGGACGTCAGCATAGCGGCGCTTCAGGTCAGGGTCAGGACAGAAGAGGTATTCATATACAGCTGCAGCAAGGATTCCTCCTATTAAAGGGCCCACCCAGTACACCTGAGAGAGAGAGAGAGAGAGAGAGAGAGAGTTTCATACATTCATTCATTCATTTTCTTTTTGCCTTAGTCTCTTTAATAATCTGAGGTCGCCACAGCAGAATGAACCACTAACTTATCCAGCACATGTTTTTTTTAAGCAGGGGATGCCCTTCCAGCTGCAACTTATCACTGGAAACACTCATACACTCTCATTCACACACATACACTACAGACAATTTAAGCTTACCCAATTCATCTGCACCACATGTCTTTGGACTTGTGGGGGAAACCAAAACACCCGGAGGAAACCCACGCTAATGCTCCACACAGAAATACCAACTGACCCCGCCAAGGCTTGAACCATCGACCTTCTTGCTGTGAGGTGATAGCACTACCTACTGCACAACCCCTTAAAGAGAGTTTTTATTTCTCCAAATTTTTCAAGATTTAAGAATGGGAAATGAATGGAGAAAATAATAAAAAACAGAAATTATAAGTTTTTAGGAGTTTTTTAGGAAGATAATGTAATTGATTGCACCAAAAATAAATTTAACAAATAATTACCTTTAAATTAATTAATTAACTTTTCATATATATATATATTTAAATTAGAAATAAATATGTAAGATTCTGTCAAAATGTATTTTCAGAATTATTAAAATATAAAAAATATTCAAAAATATTTGTATTAAATTCATTCATTCATTCATTCATTTTCTTTTCGGCTTAGTTTTTTTAATTAATCCGGTGTCGGCACAGTGGAATAAACCGCCAACTTATCAAGAACATGTTTTTATGCAGCGAATGCCCTTCCAGCTGCAACTGTATTAAATTCAATCAGTTGAAAATTTTATTTATGACTGAAATTGTTTAATAATTGACAAAAACATGTAAATAATGATCATTTAAGATTAACAACAAATATTTAAGACTTCGAACCAATTTATATCTTTTCAAATGATTTTGAATCAGTGTGTAGCTAATTTAACTTTTCTTTAACACATTTTAAAGATATAAAATCAAATTAAAATAATTAAACAATACTTTAAATAAATGTAAGGTTTAGAATTTCAAGAAAAATATTTTAATTACATTTATGTTAACATATTAGCAAGAAATAATTTTAAACCAAATTATGAGTATGAATAAGATGCAACTTCAACAATATTTATAGCTTCGTCAAGATAACTTAGTCGCGTTTTAGTTGTTACAAAGTTCAGAGAAGCATGGTCCAAATGGTGTTACCAAGCACAATTAAATTCGATAGATATAGAAATGTTCAGGGACATGGGTCATCAGTGTTATGTTTTAAAGTGTGGCAAAACAAAAGTGTTGTTTCCATTCGCCCAACTATAAAATGATTTTGAGACAGAGGAGGAGGGAAAGAGCCATCATCGCAGCATGCGCCTATGGTTTTTATACGGTGTCCTTCACCACTCAGAGGAATTTGTGGGTACGGGAGACCTCTTACTCTCTCAGAAATAAAGGTATACATGAGCTGTCACTGGGGTGGTAGTGGTACCTTTTCAAAAGGTACAAACTTGTACCGAAAAGATCCATATTATTACGGCAAGTGTACATATTAGTAACTAAAAAGTACAAAAGCGTTCCTCTTAAACTTTTTAGGTACTAATATATACTTTTGAGGTACCAATATGGACCCTATAAGCACAAATGTGTACTTTTTGAAAAGCTACCATCCCAGTGACAGCTCACGTACCTTTATTTCTGAGAATGTAGGTCTGGTGGGAGCAAATTGTGGCGACTGACCATTTTCCTCCTCTGTTGTTGTTGTTTACCGCGTCAGCATCTCCACACTTGTCTTCTTTCTACGTCATTAAACTGCGGAGTAGTACCACATTGTCGCAAGTTTAATGTTGTACAAAACGCAATGCCTCGATAAATTCAATCTACCTGTTTACATGACAGTCGCATTGTCACATATCCGATTTATATTTAATTTATTTCCACATATTAAGGAAGTCTGAAACCGATCTCTAAATATCTTAATGCATGCCTTTTTTTTTGTGTTCACACAGTCAAAAAACAGATCCGATCTGTGTCACATATGAGCAAAAAATAGGAATTGGGTCACATTTAACTGGCAGTGTAAACAGGACCTAAGAATTTGGTAAGTGATTAATGTTCTTTATGTTTATTCAGATGCCAAAGTTAGTATAATTGTCAACAGCACTCTTAGCTTTTGAAGATATACCTTTGTGAAAATGAATGAAGTTACCAAGTTTATAGTAATATCACTACAACAGTTCAGATAGCAAAGTTAGATAGCGTTCTCAGATCCGTTGTAAATGCTGCTCTCCGAATCACTGTGTATCTGTCTATGAATCTCCCCTTTTAATGCAAACCCTTCCCTTTTCACCACTCAACACTGACACCTAACCAAAGCTTGCCTCTTTCACTTTCCTGACTTTTTTCAAACTAGAGATCGTAGTATGAATAAGAAATATAAAATAATAAAACAATTAGGGGCGAGGCAGTGGCGCAGTAGGTAGTGCTGTTACCTCACAGCAAGAAGGTCGCTGGGTCGCTGGTTCGAACCTCGGCTCAGTTGGCGTTTCTGTGTGGAGATTGCATGTTCTCTCTGCCTTCGTGTGGGTTTCCTCCGGGTGCTCCGGTTTCCCCCAAAGTCCAAAGACATGCGGTACGGGTGAATTGGGTAGGCTAAATTGTCCGTAGTGTATGAGTGTTTGTGTGAATGTTTCCCAGAGATGGGTTGCGACCCCGGATTAATAAAGGGACTAAGCCGACAAGAAAATGAATGAATGAATAAAACATTTATTTTAATATGTTTATCTAAGAAACACTGTGTACAATTTTACTGGTTTTAACTGGATACAATTTTAGAGGTTAGAAAAAATGTTATGCTAAATAATTAAAAAAGGTATTTTTTTAAAGAAATATAAATTCTACATTTGAGATAATTTAAAATAATATATTTTAAATATTTTAAATTAATTAAACAATTAAAACTGTCATTCAACTTATAAGTATTTCGAAAATTCTTACAGATGTTTAACCCACTGCATTTTTTGCGAATATGAATGCATTCCTCAGTAAAAAGTATTTATTTACCCTCTCTCATTATATTGTCAGTGCAGTAAATAATCTGTCTTGTGCCTGAAATATGCATGTTATCAATGTGAGAAAGATATCGACTCTAAAACAGTGCCAAATTTAAAATTACTAACTGCTGTGATGACAGAAATAGAAGCAGGCGCGACCGCAGCAAACACCAGATACATTTACAACCCTGAAAAACAACACGTCCATGCTTAAAAAGCCTGCATCCTAAACTGCATCTCACTTTATTCTTCTCAATATCTCCAAACTATTAAATATACAGTATAATGATGACCAGCGGCTCTCGCTAGTGTAACAGAAGCTCTATGGCCTTCATGTGGCTCCAACATTTCTTTCATTCATAATCTCTCAAGGCCACTATGTGTAGTGTGGTAAACACTGCATGAAAGAAATGTTTTGACCTTTCTAATGTTACAGCGTTGGAGAGGAGACCCTGAATCAAGCGTGTTGACAGCAGCAGTCACTTAGACGGCACATAACACTCATATGCAGAGCAGCCAGTCTCATGTACCGCCGTTATTTCCAATGCCACATCTGTCTGGCTTCTGACTGCTGTCAAATGCTTCAAATGGAATGACATTTCAAAACCAAAAGTTTTTAGGATTGATATTCAGTGCATCGGATTGCAGGATTGAGAGTGTCATACTATACGGTTCAGGAAAGGTTGTGACTGATAGGTCTGTATTCCACTGAGAATTTTGGCAAGTCTTTGTTTTACTCAAAACACAGATATAGAAATATACTGTATAGTGAAGATTAATATTAGAAAACAGACCTTTAATATGTTTAAAGATTCTATGACTTTAATTTCAGTACAGTATGTTAATGCACTCTCAACTGAATATTGAGGGGTGTCTTTTGTTTGTCATTCACTCATAGCAAACTAATGGTAAGAGGAGCGTGGTTTAGAATATTGTGGCTGAAGCCGTCAAATTGACGTCAAGAGAAGAGACGCTACTCAAATGGTAAGACTTTGATTGAAGATTTTCAAAGTAAAAATATTTTTCAGCAGATTAACTTGCATGGATAAATTGTTAACTTAAAGAATAACAATGTGTGCTAGCGAATAAACATAGTACATTTTGGTTTCACACAGACTCTAAGTTTGAAAGTCACTGCTTGGTCCTGTTTGACATAAACAAAATGTTTATTTTACTACTATGCGTTCTCTTAAACAGCAGTAAATGTGGGCCGGGTTTGAACTTGATTCTTATTTAATATGCCCACAGTGATTGGGTGATGGGGAGGAGTCTCTCTAATCATAGCAACATTGTAGAGGGTGATATCATGTTGCCACCTTCAAATAAACACTTACTTTAAATTAAGTGAAACTTGTTTAGATTTTTTTTAACAAACTTCTAGTTCACACGATGGTTTTCTGTTTAAGTGTAAAATGGACCTTTTTACATTTGGCATCTTTTGAGCGTGTAAGTTTGCCAATTTCAATGGAAAAAACACATTTGTTTTCTAGGCATGCCAACTAAAAACATCTGAAATGCCATAAGCACACAGCAAGTCCAGACTGATCCTATTCGTACGGATTTGTACGATTTTAGTCGAAAAAAATTGTACGATTATAATAAGGGAGCATGGCCTCCAACTCCACCCTTATACCCAACCGTCATTGGGTGATGAGCAAATTGTACTAAATTGCACAAATGGATTGTATGAATTCATATGAATTAGCCACTAAATCAAAAAGTTACAAATTGCAGTGAGATTGCGTTGGTAAGTCACATGACAAGAACTGACCAATCAGCTTCACACTTTTGGTTTTACTAGAGCATGGATGAACAGCTTATAATTGCGGTTCAGGGATATCCTGAAACTTATGATTTGCCATCTCCAATAACGGGAACAACGCATGCAGATACATACATTGAGTTGGAGCTTGAAATAACTGGTAAGCATAATTCAGTTTTTACGTTAATGTTTAGAAACGTCTAGACATTTTTTAAGAAAGGGATGCAAACAAATGTTGCACCCCTTTTTTCTATTATCAACAAATAAATCTTATTCTTATTATAAATAAATCTATACTCTACTAATAAGTCTACAGTAAGTGTTTTTAGGCAGTTGAAATCCATAACTGAATTTGATTCTGTGTCGGGCAGCACAGCTGAGGTTGCTTAGCAATGGCAGGAGTCAGGGAAGCGCAAGCTGTGGAGCGTGTTGAACTTGTTGAAGGAAGCACTTTCCATGCAGTTTTAGACGCGATTAGTAAAAGGGGTCAAAGGAGAGTAATTGTTCAAATTAAAGGAATACTTCACCTAAAAAATAAATGTACCCTATAATTTATTCATCTTTAAGCCATTATCAGTGTATATTACTTTATTCTGTCAGACGAACACAGTCAGAGTAGTTTTAAATGTTATCCTGCTGCTTGAATGCTGTTGGTTAGTGACTTTTATTTTGAAACTTTCATAAGCGCAAAAATCAATGAAGACATAAGCTGCTAGATGGTAAAAGCATGTCTTATGAAGATGATCAATGTGTTTTTGTAGCAGAAATATTTTGTATGACATATATGTCAGTCACGCAAAACATGCAGTTGGCTGCCGCCAGAAGTCAGTGATTGGAGATTAAAAATGTTAAATGTGAAATATTTATGCATTCAAAACACACTGATCCACTTCATAAGACATGCGTTTACCCCCTGGCAGTGTATGTGTTAGTTTGGAGAAGCCAGGATAAAATAAAAGATTAAAAACTACTCTGATTCTGTTTGTTTGACAAAAAAAAAAAAAAAAAAAACATAAGCTGCGTCCCAAATGGCACACTATACACTATGCACTCATGCACTATGTACTTATGCACTTACACACTCAACAGGATAGTATATGTAGGTAGTGGCGTCTCAAATGGCGCACTAATGTTTTTTCACTAAGTGGAAATTCAAACCGTTTCCCTGATGACGTTTGACGGTTGCCAAATCAGTGAAATAAACGACCGAATAATCAAGTAATACCTGACGTGAGTATTGCCACATTCACGATCGGGAGGCGCTATAATCACTCTCGTAGGAGAATTTTGCTTTCTCCATTCAAAATAAATAAAGTTATTCAACATGTGCGTCCGATCGCTCCGCCCCTTCCACTACGTAAGCCAGTGGTCACCAAACTTGTTCCTGGAGGGCCGGTGTCCTGCAGATTTTGTGCTCCAACCCTAATCAAACACACCTGAACAAGTAAATCAAGGTCTTACTTGGTATACTTGAAACATCCAAGCAGGTGTGTTGAGGCAAGTTGGAGCTAAACCCTGCAGGGACACCGGCCCAACCTGGACCGAGATTGGTGACCCCTGACGTAAGCAAACCTGCGGTCGTTGAGTGCGTGAAGTGTCCATCATTCCACACTTCATTTAAGCGGCTGAATAAGTGCATCATCCGGGTAATTAAAGTGCACTTATTATTTTTAAAGTTTTCAATGTGAACACACTACTTACACTATTTATACTACAAAATGGCATAGAATAGTGCATAAGTTTGTGATTTGGGACGCTGCTATATACATTAGAGCAAGGGTGTCTAAACTCGGTCCTGAAGGGCCAGTGTCCTGGAGAGTTTTGCTCCAACTCTAATCAAACACACCTGAATCATCTAATCAATCTCTTACTAGATAGACTAGAAACTTACTGGCAGGTGTGTTGAAGCAAATTGGAGCTAAACTCAGCAGGACACCAGCCCTCCAGGACTGAGCTTGGACACCCCTGCATTAGATGGCAAGTAAATTATGGGGTAACTTTCATGTAGGGTGAACTATTCCTTTAAATGTTTTTGGATGAGTTTGTGATTTTGCTCATATATAAAGCAAGAGTTGTTTGTTTATAATGTTCTGCTGCTTTTTATAAGGCTTTTTGGTATGTCTGAGTGTTTGGAGTTACCACAGTGTTGAATTAGATCCTGTGGTTAATTTGGCTGACAATTGGCCTAAACTTTTTAGGATGATATATAGTTTCATTTAAGAGGCGTTGACTGTAGTCTTCTTCAATACAATAATAGCCTCTTTGCTGATTACAGTACATTAGTACATGTAAATGTACTTACTTGAGCTATCTTTAACTAGTATATAGCAATGACAGATATGAAGATATAACTTAACTAGTTTAATGCAATTTAATTGAGCTTTATCAACTGAAACAGAGATTGAAATTTTGTCATTATAATTGTATTTAATATTTTGTTTCTTTTTTGTTTTCAACAGAAAAAAAGAAACCCACCAAGGTTTAAAATCAAATGAATGAAAGTAAATGATGAAGTAAATTAAAATTTTGTCAGAACTATTGCTTTAACTTACTGCCCTTTAGTGAAGGTTGTAAAATTCCAATACTGCTACAGATTTAAATAAAGATTTTTAAATGCAGGCCAAGTGTAACTAATTAAACCAGTATGAGTTCAGCTAATTGCCAACCTCATATGTGTGTTTCTCATAATCAATTAGTGAAAATGCATAAAAACAGCCTTTTTTATAAATAGAGGTGAAGTATCATGGCTGACAGCAATGAAACCAAAAACCAAACTGGGTACAAGAACAGCTGTTACTTCTTGCCCAACCGGTTCAGAAAAACATGGAAATAATCAAAGAAAAGTTTGGAGATTCCACCTAAAAAATTAATGTATTAATCTCCACCTGGTGGTGACACTCTTGATAATCTAACAACCCCCATTTAACTGTCAGCCAAATTAACAGTTTTCAGAACAAGTGAATGTGCATTTTAGCAATAGCAAAAGAAATGGCCAGTTCCAAATCTCTGATTTATAAAATCATCTTAAAAATGCCACTCACTCTTTTACTCTTTCACTCTTTGCTGGTGATCCGCAAGACAAATTGAACAAGAGGACAGGATAATGTTGAGGAAATTAATGGGAAGTCAGTTCATCACTGCAGCAGGAATTTATCATCACTTCAGCTCTGAACAGGGCAAAGGTCTTGACATATGCTTGGCATATTCTAAGAGCATGGTTTATATCTCACAGCACAGTGCACTTAGGGAATGTCTGAATCCACTTTTGCTGTTATAAGGATGCGAAAAAATTTTGGCACTGTTGAAGTCTCTTAATGAATTAACAGTGTTTTTGGTGTAAGATGCATTACAGTTTAAAATTTAAATTTAAATTCAATTAAAAATTTCAATTTTTCAAATGTTTCATTCCCTTTATGAGTGAGTTGCAGTGCGTGCTCGCTGTTTACATGGTGGACATTGTAAGTGGAAAAACTGAATGCTTCCCTAGCAATGAAACAGATATTGCTTGTACGTGAGTTTAAAGCATAAGCAGATCATCTACGGATTTCACCAAAGCCTCTTGAGAAGGCAGATTTTATATTTATCCAGACAATAATAATATTTTACATTTTAATCCTTAAAATTGTCAGATTTTAAGATATTTACAAGTGACTGTACATCCCTGTGTGTGTGTATTAAGCACATTCTATGCACAATTTGGACCCATATATCACTAAACTTAAATGAAAAATTCAAACTTGCAACATTTACCTAAGACCAGCTTTTTGTCGGTCAATAGAGCAGCCTTCAGTTCGCACCAACAACGAACCTTAACGCATCTCTATTTCAGACTAGCACGTCAATAGGCAAACAACTGAGCACAAATAAAGCTGCTATTTAAACAACGTAGCCCAGTATGTGAAAATGATACCTATGCTGGGCTCAAACTAATAAAAAACACATGCATTGTGTTTGGCATCACATTGCACTGGGTGTATGATGTCTTGACATTTAAGAAAATTTGGACTGAAGTCATTCAGTGACCAAACCGTCACACCTTGTAAAAAATCTAAACTCACAGTATCAGTGTTTTCAATCAAATACCAATTTTTGTTTTAAGTTCCGGATATTTGACAACTCAAAACAAAACATTTGCCATTTGTAAAATACCCACTGATGTGTGCCCGCAGCAACGGTCATTTTACACATAATCTAATGATGTGTGTTTATTCAAAGCAGATACATTGTTTGGGTTACGTCGTCATGGAAATAGAAACGTCTAGAGCAAAAAAGATTTACGGAACAGGTTTCAACCCAGAAGTACAAATTTAGACAAAGAAATTCACTGCAGTACATGCTAATACTTTTACCACTTGGTCTGTGATTTGCATGAGAATCCAACTCTATAACCGCAAATAACTGAATGCATAAACTTATTTGGGTCTGGTGTGTTTGTCACACTTTCAAAAGACCAAACCCAAAGTGTGTGCAAAACTCAGTAAAGGGGAAGGTGAAGTGCAGATTTTTAGGAATATACAGTACCAAATTCGATCCCATTGGGAGTCAGGACACTAAAAATAGAGCTGTAACGCAGGACTGTCCTAGCAAAATGGATGACTGGTCACCCTACACTGATATATAGAATATTAATCACAGCATTGAGCTTCATGCCAAAGGCCTGTTGTCGGTCAGAGATAAACATCATCTTGATCCAAATATAGTTCAGTCACCTTTGCAAGAGTAAAACAAAGCCAAAATGTTCGTCTTAAAAAAGTGCTGGCATCGAATCTGATTGTTGTCAAGTTCACTTTTAATCAATCACAGTTGCAAAGGCCTTGCTGACCTTTACGCACATGAATATCCATGAAGCAACTAGAAAGAACTTTGCAATGTTTATTTACAAGCAGAAGATATTGTGAAAATCTTACCCAATGGTCCTGCCATTTTACCATGATGACTGCGGGACCAAAAGAGCGAGCTGGATTCATACTGGCCCCAGTGTACGGGATCTGAAATGCACAAACAAACTGATTGAAAACAAAATTAAATATGTGCCAAAACAAATAGAATTCATTGCAGTTCCATGTTAATTTTGCCACAAATTTTTTTTTAATTTTATTTAGCACAAATTATGATTATAGGAACAGATTATTTATTATCATCCAGGGGCAGCACGGTGGCACAGTGGGTAGGGCTCTCGCCTAACCGCAAGAAGATCACTGGTTTGAGCCTCGGCTGGGTCAGTTGGCATTTCTGTGTGGAGTTTGATTGTCCATAGTGTATGTGTGTGAATGGAAGTGTATGGTGTTTCCCAGGTTGCAGCTGGAAGGGCATCCACTGCGTTAAACTTATGCTGGATAAGTTGTCGGTTCATTCCGCTGTGGCGACCCCAGATTAATAAAGGGACTAAGCCAAAAAGAAAATGAATAAATGAATGTATTATCATCCAGTTCCTGGGTTGCGCAATACAATTTTATGAGCTTAGAACACTTTTAAGCGAGTGCATGATTAGTAAATTAATACATTTTGATATTTGTATCACAAACCAGCTCCTTATGAATGTCTTTTTTACAAAGTAATCAGACACGGATGTCAAGAGTTTATTATTGCTGCACTATACAGTTTTTGTTGTTCTTTCAACTTTGAAATTAAGTGTTCGTGCTGCCTTAAAATTTTAATTATACATCTCTTAAACTGAATTTGTCTTAACTCAAGTTAAAGTTGACATGACTTGACAATACAAGTGTAATGGACGTGGTCCAAGCTTAGTTACCTTAAATATATAAGTCACAGTAATTAAGAATGGTGTTGATAGAACTTTATAATTAAAGGGCAATGGACATGGTTTAAGTTTAAATACTAAAGTTGACTCTCTCATGCATGCACACTACAGCCAACAGCTAGCTCTCTGCAACTCTTACAAGGTCGCCCACTGAAGCTTAGCAGAGCTGCGCCCGGTAAATACCCAGATGGGAGACCACGTTGGGAAATCTAGGTTGCGGAAGTGGTGTTATTGAGGTCAGCAGGTGGCGCCCAACCTGCGGTCTGTGCGTGTCCTAATGCCCCATATTGTGACGGGGACTCTATACTGCTCAGTAAGCGCCGTCTTTTGAATGAGACGTTGACTCTCTGTGGTCTTTAAAAATCCCAGGATTTCCTTCGAAAAAGAGTAGTGGTTTCACCCCGGCAAATTTGCCCACTTGCCACTGTCCATCATGGCCTCCTTACCATCCCCATATCATAATTGGCTTCATCACTCTGTCTCCTCTCCACCATTCACCTGGTGTGTGGTGTGCGGTCTGGTGCAAAAGGGCTGTCGTTGCGTCATCTAGGAGGATGCTGCACACTAGTGGTGAATGAGATTCCCCCCTATGTGTAAATCCTTTAAGTGGTCACAAAACCGCCATATAAATGTAAGGAATTATTATTATTATTATTATTACTACACTGTAAAAATAAATTGTTGAGAAAACATAAAAAAACAAGCAACTTGATGCAGTAAGAACTTTGAATTGTCTCAACAACTGTTTTTTTAGTTCTTCTCAGTAACAATATTTTATTCAGCTAACATAGTTTTGGTTATTCTTGCAATGTTGATTATTGTATTTTACTAATAGAGATATTCTTATCGCATCAACTGAAGCAACATCTAATGCTATTGAGTCAATTATTTTTTTCTGTTTAGTGAGTGATTTTTTTTAAATTTGCAAAATAAGTAATTAGTATTAATTAACATATCATCCGGTTTTTCATAATTTTACTAGCAAATGACAAACACAAACTTACTACTTCATTCATTTTCCTTCAGTTTAGTCCCTTTATTCATCAGGGGTCGCCACGGTGGAATGAACCGCCAACTTATCCAGCATATGTTTTACAGAGTGGATACCCTTCCAGCTGCAACCCAGTACTGGGAAACACCCATTCACATTCAGACACCTGTACCGCATGTCTTTGGACTGTGGGGGAACCCGGAGCACCCGAAGGAAACCCACAGGAATGCCAACTGACCAAGCCGAGGCTTGAACCAGAAGCCTTCTTGTAGTGAGGCGACTGTGCTACCCACTGCTTCACAGTGTCACCCCTCTTACAAGCAACAAATAATCAAGCTTTGTTTTCGATCGTTGTGTCACACATGTGCAAATTATTTAAAAATCAACATTCCTGTTCAACACAAAAATGTTTGTCCAGAAAACTTTGTTAAACATGTAGACATAACATTTTAGCGATATTCTTAGTGTATATATGACAGAAAAAGTACAGCGTGCTGAACAAATAGTGTTTTTTTTTTAGTGTACGCCCATTTTTATCTATTCAATTCAATACACGGCATGTCTTTGGGGCAAACAGGAGCACCTGGGGAAAACCCACATAACCACAGAAAGAACATGCAAACATCACACAGAAATGCCAAATGACTCAAACCAGTGACTTTTTTTTGCAGTAAACCGACAGTGCTAACCATTGAGCCACCACCCCATGCAACTTACTTTAAATGAATCAGGAAGACTAATGGTTTCACTAATGAACCATGGTGCATTTAATACTAAAAATCAAGTCTGCAAATAATTTTTTTACCAAAATAGGAATCTGAGAAGCAGGGCCGGAGTGGGACTCTTTTTCAGCCCTGGAGTTTCAAGCCTTAGACCGGCCCACCTCAGTTCACGACTGACTATATTAAAATAAGGTCATTTTCAATTCAGTTTCTAATTACACTATCACGTCTTTTTTTTTTTTTTTTTTTTGAGAAAACAGCTGCTTTAGAACTGTAAATGTTCAAAAACCCTAACAGTATTATATGTCTTAACAATAAAACTATAATAAAAAAAAAAAAAAGCATACTCAGACAAGAATCAAACCCGGGTCGGCGGCATCGTAATCTAACGTGCTAACCACTGGACCACAACAGTTGTTTAAGAAGGACTGACTCATCTGACTAATATCATCATTAACCTGTAGGCTGGTTATATATAAAAAGAGCAGAGCTGCGGTAAAATAATGAATAAGAAGACTGTAGTCAAGTAAGTAAATAAATTAATTTAAAAAGTGTGACTGCTGAGAGCAACAGATTCTGGAGCTAGGGACACCGGCCCTCGCGGCCAAAAAACGGACCGGCCCACAGGGAATTTTCCCGGTCCTCCCGATTAGACAATCCGGGCCTGCTGAGAAGAACCTCAGACAAACACACCACAACATTACATTGTATATATGACAGTCATTATTGCCAGATACACTTGAATTATCCAAAACCCTCCCAAACGCACAAAAAAGGCCCAAAAACTAAAAACAAGTAGGTAAGCATGCTTGGTTTTTGTTAAATATTCATAAAAAGTATTTATTTTCAGTTGCACATATTTGTACTATTTAAAGCTCAGATGCTTGAAAAAGTTAAGCTAACTAAAAGCTTTAGTTCAGCTGACTCTTTTTTTGAAAGAGTTGGCACAAACGTTTTTACAGTGTGTTGTCACAGGAAGAGAACATACTAAATAAAGTCACAGGAACTACAAGAATGTTGAATAAAAAAATTCATTAAAAAATGTGGAATTTTCCTCAAGAAATTTCTGAGAAAACAGATGCTAAAACTGATGGTTAGTTTATTATATTATTAAAGCATTCAAGTTTTAGTTTATGCAGCACGATGGTTAAGCAGTTAAGACGATTGCCTCACAGAAAGATGGTTGCTGGTTTGAGTCCCGGCTTGAATAGTGGGTTGTGCCAACTAGGGCTGTGCAATTTATCAAAAAATCAATCTTGATTTCAATTCTGGCCTCAAACTATTGGCGAAAAAGCTAACTCAGAAGGTTTATAACTAACTGAGGGAGAGTAAATGGTGAGTGAATTTTCATTTAGGGTGAACTATCCTTTTAAAAAGAAAAGCTAACACTCAAACATCAAAAAACATATGATGAGTGAGCCGGTTTATCTCTTTAAATCACAAATCCCCTCTAAAGGCTCTTAAATGGTGTTTGTATCTGTGCCAGGCCTAAATACACGAGTGCATGTAGAGGCCATCCTGGTCTCATGCCAACATCCTTAGCAACACAAATGAGCTTCCATAAACACCTCATCTGCAGTTTCTGCTGGGACTATTGGCATGGAAATAACACCATCACTTGGGATTGTAGTTAAGCTACCAACCCTCCAAAGGGAAACTAAGCAGATACACCTCAAGAGACTAATATTTGTAGGATCAAGATCTTCAAGCTTGTCTTAAAAATTGACTTGATAGTGTAGGATGTTAATTACTGCCTTTCATCTTATTTAAATTCTCCACAAAACAAACATTTTTTATGAAATTAATATCATTTTATAATGATGCAAATGAGGACATACTCACCGCAAAGAGATGGCCGATGCACACAGACAGACCAATAGCCAGTGCTGCCGAACCTTTGAGATCATTACGCTTGGGGTCACAGGTAGCAAAGACAGTGAAAACAAGCTCAAAAGTGATTATGAGCTCTATCACAATAGCATGACCAGCGGAGATCTCTTCATTAACCTGCAGGGGGAGACAGCGAGTTATTTAAAGTCCATTAACTTCAATGACAATAGCGTTCTTCAATCACTTTCCAACAGCATTTGACTATTTTTATATTTTAGGGTTCTTACTAATGTGAAATGCTTAATTCTTGCTTAGTTACTGAATGCTGTACTAATGGCTGATGAGTTTATGGTGCCTTCACATGTTGTCGAAATAATTGTAAATACCTGAGTTTCTGAGCTGGACGGGCTATAAACATTTGCAGAAACTGCTGTGACTGCTATTCTGTATTATTGTATTTGCTTCATCCCCTCATCTTGTCGTTAAATTAATGCAATTTTATATATTCATATATCATTATCAGCACATTTTACAAAAGAAGATTAGCACAAATATATTTAATTTTTTTCTGACAGGTAACAAAAAAAGCACTTGAATTTAAAAAGCATCACAACTTTATATGTGGAAAATGTCTGATAACATTTAAAGGCTGCATTAATCAAGTGCAAAAACAAAATGTGTCAAAAGAATCATAAAATTTAAATTAAAATTCAGCCATCACTTGTTCAGGTGAGCCTATATATTTTTTTTTTCTTCTGTTGAACAAATTTTATTACTATAACCCTATGATGTATGTCAATGGGGTCCAAAAAAAAAAAAAAAAAAAGCAAAAGCAAAAGCAAAAAAGACTCAGGACTTCTTTTAACAGGGATCATGAAGAAAGATATAAAAATTCTCCTAACCCCAGATTTGTTTACAAAGAAGGCACACATTTTTTTTTCATTGTTTTAATAAAATATTAAATTATATAAATGGTATACTTATAATACATCAATATATTTAATATTTTTTTAATTAGATTTTTAAAATTAATTTAAGAAGTTTAGAATTGCTGAACAGAACAGTAATGTCACACCATATACAGTAATAGTTTTTAATACTTTGTAACTACTCATTTGTGTATTAGATTATTTGATTTGTATATTATTGAGTAGCATGCATTTTTTACATAAACAACAGCAGCGTTCATCATGTTCATGACAGCTTTTAGGCTGTCAAACATAAATTCAAAAGCTTACAGCGACAGACACACAGTTGTTCTTTACAACTTTCAATTTTTATAAAATATGCAAACTATTAGCCAATCAAAGCGGTGGACACTTAATTACATTATTCACTTCTGATTCTACACTCTAAAAATATCCGTTTATTAACAGTTTCCATATTTTATGATTTCACAGTTTTTTTGTTTATTTATAGTTGTGAATTGCATTATGGTACCTTGATTTCTGCTCTGTCTATAATTTTGATGTTGAAAATCTACAGTTTAACTTATATTGACATTTTAGTAGTTTCAAACAATATATAAGCAATAATATATTTATAAAATTAAGTCTTTGAAAAATAATAGAAAAGTACTGGCAGGTTATTACCAGTATTTCTTATACCAACCCAAAAAATATATTACTTTAATTAAAACAAACCTTTTCACTTCTTGACAAAAGTTGTTAAAGGAAAAATCAAGGAGCCATAATGCAATTCAAAAACATAAATGAATCTAAACAAAACAAGTAACAAAACACTGTTCATTTACAAATATTTTAAAACAGTGTACAAATATCCACATCTATCCAAACAGTGTGTTCTGATTAATGAGTTCCAACTAAACAGAACAGTCTGTTTCTGATTTTTTCTGTAAATATCTTGTTAATAGTGTAAGTGGACCACAGAACAAGTTCACAATGCCCTTGAAAATTGTTTTTCTTAGAATTTCTTTAGTGTTAAAAAGTAGAAAAAAGGGCCTGCTTTAGATCTTCTGTTGAACTTTACAGCTGTGAACTAGCAGTCATTTGAGACTTTTTGACTAAAATGTTCTTTTTTTTCATCTAATAACTGTGATGAACTTTGTAAACAAATTTTACTAATCATAACCCTAACCTAACAGAAATGCTGTGCCAAAATGACTAATTATTAACATTAACAGTGTTCGGGTAACGCATTACAAGTAACGCAAGTTAAATATTACTTTTCGAGTAACGAGTAAAGTAACACGTTACTTTAAAAAATGTGTTACTTTTAGTTTGATTAATTAGATTTAAAAAATAAATTGCTAAATTTAAAATGAAAGTATTCACAATGAATCACGTTGCCAATGAAAGAGTGTGTTTATTATTTGGAACGCATCGATGAAAAGAAAAAGGGGATTACAGTATCAATGGACAGTGAGTTTACTTAAGACAAATAGTACAAAGGTAGCAAACAGATTGCTTTAAACTTTTAATAATCTGTAAATAAGTGTTTCCTCTAGGATTTTTTTCCAGCTGTGGCGGCAGGCCTTTTTTTTTACACAGATCTACCAACTACCTGTGGTGTTATTTCAATAACAAATGTCTTGAGCGCAGCATTACAAGTCGAGGTCGCATTTATATAATAGCCTATGAGCATGCAAATCTGTTTGTGCGCCGATTTCCTCTGCTCGTGCACAAAACTTCTTGCAAGCCCTCTTTAATATACGCTGCTCAAGCGCAGATCTTCTTGTGCGCTCTCAAATATATGCTGCTGAAGTGCGATTTAGTGCGTTTATGTAACAAGTATGTCTCCAACATTTATTAGATTTGCTAGGATTATTTATGAATGTCTCCAATAGACCTACAAAGCGGTATTAATGCATCATGAAGTAAAGTGAAACGGCTATACATCGTGTTTGCTGGCCTCATGCATCATGCACTTGTCAGTCAATCAGTCAGTCAGTCAGCATGTCACCTTAAAGCATTAAACAAATAACGCACAGCACTAATACGGTTACAGAAAAGTTTGCTCTGTTATATTTCACTTAACTTTTAATACGTGTTGGTGCAATTTTAACCCGCTATTAAAAAAAAACACACACGACTGAATGTTTTGAATGAAAAGCTGTATTGTAGCCATGGCGGGACCCTGCCATGGAACAATGAATGTAGCAGAAACCATGCAAGGCATGTATAGCTCTGGGGTAAGGACGTTCTCATATAACATTATCCTAAAATATAATTAGTTTTTGATGTGTTTTTTTTAAAGGTAAATGTAGGTTATATAGTGTGCTGTTAATAGCAGAGCTCCTCTTTTTAAAACACAAAGATCTAAAAGAGATCAAGCCTCAGCCAGGTAATGAAAAGTAAAGCAAATTCAACACAGAGGTAAAGGTAAAGCAGCTAGTTACTTTTTTTTTGCGGGGGGGGGGGGGGGGGGGGGGGGGTAACACAACATTGTAATGCATTACTTTCTAAAGTAACTTTCCCCAACACTGGTCTCTAGTAGAAAATGCCTCAAGGCAGGCCATCAAAATAAAGAGTAACCATTTTTAGCAGAATTTTCTCATTGTTTTTATCAATACTCACAGACGTCACTCCCATTCCTCCTCTCACTGACGCCGGTGTCACTCCATACAAGATGGCTGCTCCCACTACTGCCCCCAAACACTGTGCCAACAAATAAAACACACCCTTCGCCAGACTCAGCTTCCGTGTAGCAACCATTGCCACAGTAACGGCCGGGTTGATGTGGGCGCCGCTGATGTGCCCGAAACACTGGACGAGGGTTGCGATGGACAAGCCAAAGCAAAGGGAGATGAGGACAAGGTCGGCGGGTGGAGGGTTCTCCTGTTTTGCTCCCCAGTTGATGGTGGATCCAAGACTGAGCAGCACGAATATTATCATGGCCAAAAACTCTCCGGAAACCGCCCGCCAGAATTCCTGAGTCCACACACCTTTAAAGGCTGCCATGATACTGTTATTGCATGAGCAAGACGACACGCACCTCCTTAAAAGGACAAAAATAGAGGAAATATATTTATAAGACTACGAGTCTATGAGAAAAAACATATACAAAAACACACTTAATTTACTTAGGAATAGTGTAAGATTCATTCATTCATTCATTTTCTTTTCGGCATAGTCCCTTTATTAATCTGGGGTTGCCACAGCGGAATGACTTATCCAGCACATGTTTCTTGCAGCGGATGCCCATCCAGCCACAACCCATCTCTGGGAAACTTTCACACCCATTCACACTCATACACTATGGACAATTTAGCCTACCCAGTTCAGTCTTTGGACTGTGGGAGAAACAGGAGCAACTGTAGGAAACCCACTAGTGTAGGATTATAAGACTTAAACCATTAAGACTTTCTGGCAGGAAAAGTTGTACAAGTTGTACAAAATACCTTTGAAGATGAAATGGATTGCTCTTTTTCAACAATTTACTTGGTTAACTTAGCAGACAACATGACAGTGAAGGACAAGTACTTATAACAAAAGAACGACAAGTACAAGATATATTGAAAAAAATATTTAAAGAGGATTGCTTGGATTTGCTAAATTAATTTGACTAAAGTGGATGTAAACAATCAATCGTTTGCAACAACTTTGCACACATCATTTTTTTCCAGTGTACTTCTAGCATATAACAAGAAAACTATAACTAGCAAGTGCCTACTATTTGAACCTCCAAAGAAGTCTGAATGGTTGGATGTTATTTACAAATGACCAAAATATGGAGATAACTTTTAACAAAAATTACGAATGAACAAATACTTGCAATATTGGGAGAATTCTGTTTATTCCTTAATATTGTTTAAACTGACCACTATATGCATATGTCAGCATGACTTGTAAGGACGTCCGTGACAGACATAACTGTTCATCTAAATTTTCAAACTATTTTATTTTCTTCTTTAAAAATAAATAAATAATAAAACACTTTATTTTGATAGTCCATTTGAATATTAGTAGACTGTCAGCTTAATATCTGTTGATACTGCTCCTTCAACAGAAATTTAACTCACTATAAAAAACTTTGCAAGTACGTCAACTTACACTAACCCTAACCTTAACCCCAACCTAACAGTCTAATTATAATCTGATGCGAATTAAGGCTGATTTATACTTCTGCGTCAAACGCCGGCGTATGCTACGGCGCTCCGGATGGAAAGTTTTGTTTTTTGTTTACCTCATAGTTAAAGTTGTTGCACGTCCGCCGGTTCCTGCCTCAAAATGAGCGAGTTTGAGCCACTTGTACAACCAGGAAGTGTTCAGGAAAAGCAAAACAACAGCGAAGAAACTCGACACAGAGGAACATTTACACCTCACTGCCAACTAGCGTTTCGGAAGTGTTAATGCAGACCAACAGAGACAGCACGCAGAAGTATAAATGCACAGCTACGCGCGTTGCATGCGCCGTGGGTTACACCGGTCACTTGACGCGGAAGTATAAACCAGGCTTTAGTTGACATGTAGATGCAATGTAACTTAAAGCGCACAGAGTTTACCACTTTTTAAAGATTTATTATTAATATTATGGTTCTTCTAAAGTGTGCCAGTTTAGGTTCAGTTCAAAGCGCAATTCAGATGTTTTTATTATATTGTGCTAAAAAGTGTCATTTTGGGGGCCTGTACACAGGTCGTTGTTTTAGGGGTGTTTTGCTTCACATGAAAATTACTTTTGACTTCGCGCCCAACTTAATGAGAGGGCGGAGCCAAGAGCTCCCGCGTTTTGTGTATGGCAACAGACAGGCAGACAGAGAGAAGCTACATGAGCGAGAGAACCAGCATTCAGCCGTACATGTACGACTTGGACACAGACCAAGCAGAGACTACTGTTGAGGCATCAATATTCCTGATGTGGCAGAATGTGTCAGAGTGGTAGTTACAAAATCATTTGTGTCTTTGTATAGTTTTACAGCCTGTGTGCTAGTTTAAAGTTCCGAGCTTGTACACCGAGACTAATAACCACACACACTGAATTAACTTTGACTGAGGCTAAAACTAAAGGGCGTCACACAACGGATGCGCCGCTCAGAGCCGCGATACGGCACACAAAAAGTGCACATTTGCATGTTATTTAAAATGAAACTATTCAGATGGGGCTCTGTGGTGCGGCAGAAATATGAACAGTGGCCTGACTCGTGGCTGGGTGCTGCGGACAGCCGCTGACTTGTGCCGCCGGTCTGTGTACCCTGATAGAAACCTATGTTTAAAATTCTAAAATGCATGGCGCTGCGTTGTCACCGAGCAGCCATTCTGGTGTGCGACCTGCTTAAGGCAAGTTTGTTATTTCCAATGGAGGGATGCGCACTTGAGGCAATGCGCTTGCACTTTCCAGCCGCAGCTAGCTAAGATGACAGGGAGCTTCTGAAACCGCCGGAAATACAAACGGCTTAAGTTTAAGGAAAGCGCAATGAAAAGTACACGTTTGAAAACCTACCTAAAGTTACAAACAATGGCGGCGATGAGAGCGATCATGGATCTGTTGATCTTGTGTTGAGCCCAATGAGACTTACATCCAAAAATAGAGCAAGGGTGTTTCGTTGGTGATATCGCTTTGACTCACACACTGAAAATGGCGGATATGAAACAACAAACTGAGGATATGGTTATGTGTGCCTGTCAATCAATAATGGTGGGTGGGGGGACCACACTCCTACGTCAAGTTGTGGTCGATCTCAAAACCGATCCAATTGGTCTACCGTGTTTGTGTTGAAAAAAGAAAATAGGACCGGGTGTGTTTATATCACCCCAATATGACGGTCTATACACTATACCTACACATATGTTTGTCCAAACAGCTTGAAAATTTTATTTTTCACCATAGGTGCCCTTTAAATTCAACAAACGGACCATCAAAATAAAGTGTGACCAGTAAATTAAAGGAAAAGAGAACATTACAAAAGCAATACATACTTTTTTCAGCCTTTTAAATTATTCAGAACTCTAAACTACTCTTTTTAAGATTAAGTTTGTGGATGTTTGGACACCTTTAATTGTTATAATGTGGATAAAACATGATCTATTTAAGTAAATGAGAATATACAGTACCATTTTCACCCATCTTATGATTGATAACAAAAAACTGTTATAGTAGTTTATCTCTATCCTGATGGTTTAAAGTGTCTCATCATGCGGTTAATCAGTGTGCTCCTTCCAAGTGGAAATTCAGTAATTAGAGAGGCTTCAGCTTCCTTTCAAAGAATCCATAGAGCACATGCTTGGAAAATTTCCAGAAAGAGTCATAAACAAACTGGATCTATTATTAACCTAACAAAATGGTTCAATATACACTATATAGCAAAATAATGCATGCATTATACACGGACATCATTACCAAGATTACAGGGAATGCTAAGAAAAACATAAAAAGGAAAGAAAATAATTTGTGAAACATTATTACATATTAAAAGTGACAAAAATGGTGGCATCTTTTAAAAAAACAGATCTAATCTAATCATGTTATATCCACATCATAATAATCTATTCACCCACATTTCAGTTTCATTTACACACTACATACTATTAGCCTAATTTATTTATTAATAATTAAGGTTTTACATCCCTATTAATAATAAAATAAAATTAAAATACCCCAAACTAATCAACAGACAAGGCAAGGACACCAACCAACACCAGCAAATCAACGTAGTCTGGTTTAACATACCATAGCCTACAACATCAAATTATGCCATAAATGCAATAATATTAATAACCTATCATTTTAGCGAACATGATAAATGAATGAAAGTCTTCACGTCACGATTTACACTGACTGTATATTTTTTAAATGAAGCATTTCATAGACCCGGATGTTGACCGGCAGGTAGGGTATAGCTACTTAACTAGCCTAACATTGTGAGCTCATAGAACAGAAACACCAATTGACTTCACAAAACAAAACAACTAACCGACGACGAACTTACCGAATAACGCCACAACTTTTGTTCTGAACCGAGACGCGCGAAAACGCTTTTCTCATCCCTGAACAAGCATCCTCCCAGAGGCAAAATATAACCTCAAACAAGACATTAGAAACACCGTATCGCGCTGTGGGCGAGAGGATCTATTATAAACACACTCTTTTAATGATCAATATGTGTGTGAATTTAAGTGTTCAGCTTCTCCTCCCTCTGATTCACAGTCACACGCGCACACAGAAGCGCGCACGCGTGTCCCCATGCGCTCCGATCAATTAAACAAGTCAAGATTAACTATTCAGATATGCTATTGCACAGTGCCTGTTGACGACTATAACCTTTCCCTCTAACTAACTTATATGGGGAATGTTAGTCTATTTTTAATCAATTAACATATAATATTAAAAATAAACACAACAGCAACACTATTTGCGAATGATTTGGTGGGTCTCAAAGGGGCAAGAATGCCAGATTAACGTGTGCCAGTGACATTTGTGATGACATTTCACACTATATCTTATATATCCTTATTTATCTTTGATTTATAGAGGGACCAGTGTATGAACCTCCTACATTTATAAGCGAGCTCATAATAATAAAAAAAAAAACATTTTCCATTTTCAATAAACTTGAGAAACATTGGTTAATATCAAATCATAAGAAAGTTTCTTAACCAAATACAATCAAGTTTATAATATTTCATCACAAATGCAATATTATTTTATAACAAAGGAATCAAACCAAGTCAAGTCTATTCTGAACTTTTTTTTCTGCAGATACAAAATGAGAATTATTTCTCAAAACAAAGTAACAAAGTTTAATTGAATTTATTTAGCAAGAAAATTTATTTTTAGTGTTATAGTTCAAAATATATTGTTTAATATGTACTTTTCACAAAAGGAATAATTCTTTTTTGAACTGTACATTTCCAGAACATATTTTAAAAGTGTAGTTGTTTTATTTTTTACAGACTAACCAACCAGACAAGCAGAACTATGTATGCTACTGATCATGTGAGTATCCAGCACTTTTGCTCTTGAACTCACCTGAATGTGTCCAGGGCTCCACAGCTTGTCATTCCTCCTCAGACTGACTGTCAGCTCAGTGTGCTTCTCTCACAGTGTCGTGTTACCGGCTCTTCATGGTCAAATCAGAGCAGAGAGACCACAGCACAGAGATATGAAGCTGTCTGAGCAACTGATCTGACAGCGCTGACTAGAGCACTGACACATTTCACACAACTCACACCCCATTCAGTCACTCACAACACAGTTACACCAGACTGTCTGTCTATCTATCTATCTATCTATCTATCTATCTATCTATCTATCTATCTATCTATCTATCTATCTATCTATCTATCTATCTATCTATCTGTCTGTCTGTCTGTCTGTCTGTCTGTCTGTCTGTCTGTCTGTCTGTCTGTCTGTCTGTCTGTCTGTCTGTCTGTCTGTCTGTCTGTCTGTCTGTCTGTCTGTCTGTCTGTCTGTCTGTCTGTCTGTCTATCTATCTATTAGTCACTTAGACACCAGTCTTATTAGTCTTCAGTTTAATCTGAACGATTACTAAGGGTCAAACAGCTGTCATTTATTTCTTTGTGTAATATTCTACTTAATTATTTACACTTTTTTATGTTATTATCGGTGATGTGACCTTCACTTTTTTTTAAAGAGACTCTTTTGCTCATTTACTTGTAATTGATAAAAACAGGCCCAATAATGAAGTATAATAACTTAAAATAACTTTAAACAGCATTATTATTCCAGTCTTCGGCACCATTATTACTAATATTCTGATTTGATAGTCAAGAAACAGCTTGTATTATTATCAGTGTTTAAAACTAATTTTATACTCTTTGAGGCAACTGTGATACATTTTAGTAAATAAATATAACATTTGAAAGATGAAATGATATTAACATTATACATATCAGATTGTAAAGTTTGAAAACCTGAAATAGTTTGTTACAATTTAAATGTAGTATGACTTTTGAATAATTTAAAACATCTTTCCTAAATAAAATAATAAATTTATTTGTTAGTAATAGTTAAAATAAATATTAGATTATTTGGTCTTACCTCTATACCAGCCTCTCCTGTAAAATATTGCAAAAAAGACACAATGTGATTTATTGGGGTAAAATAAAATCAATAACTGACCATGATTTAAATATTAGCACAAAGAATACTTGCAAAATTTGGTCACACTTTGTTTACTGCATGCCCTTACTTACTAAGTCGTTGCATTTAAAGTAATTTGTTACAATGTACTTATTATGCCCATACATCATTTAAAATTGTATTTTAAAATTGATCTGCATGTAATTACATGTGTAATTAATTTCTGTAATTCCGTTTATAATCATATTTGCTTAAACATTATTATTTGACCATCACCTAAACTTTAACCCACCCTCATACCACCAAATCTGTCGCTAACCTTACCCTTATCCTACCTTAAAAGCACCATAAATGTTGTGTAATATAATATGAGCACAATAAGTACATTGTACTTATGTGTTGATGTAAGTACCTAGTAGTTTAGCTTACTTAATTTAAAGCAGAACCCACAATTCTTATAGTATTTCATGTTTATGTGATCTCTAAATCACACTGTGTTTATGCTCCAGATAGATATTATAAGAAACAAAGTTTTTCTGTCAGTAGTGTATTTACTATGTTACAAATCTAATGATTCAGCACCATTTCAGCAACCACATGACAAGGTCAGTTGCAGTTCACAGCCTGACACACCTAAAACAATGAAGGAGTCAAGTATGACAATATCATTATTTTGCTTTGTTATTTTTAAGACCCACCCTATACAGCACATTCAGCATTTACAACACCTCAAGCCAAAGTGCTTTGAACACAAACGTACTTTTAACACATCTAATCTCATGCAGCTGATGATGCAAGGAATATGAAAAAGGTCTTAAACGTATTTGTTTTACTTCAAGTCAGTTAAATTAACATCAAGCAACAGCCCGTTTCTGACCACAACACCTAATAAAAGAAATAGTTTGCATGTTTCTGCTAGGTCTTTACGTTACAGTATGCTCGTTTCATGATATACACTGTAAGAAAATAGCTCTTAATTAACAGTTTCTCTATTTTGTGATTTACAAATGTTTTCCATTAATTTATAGTTGTGAATTGCATTATGGGAGCTTTATCTCTGCTCTCTTGAAAATTCAACTCTACATTGACTATTGACGAAGGGACATTTATTTACATTTGAGTAGTTTAAAATATTACAACGTACAGTAAGAAATAGTATAGAGAAATAAGTCTTTAAAATGTACTGCAGTTTATTAAGGCAAAGGCAAAGGCAAAGGCAAGTTTATTTATATAGCACATTTCATACACAGTGGCAATTCAAAGTGCTTTACATAAACAGGAATAAAAAGACAAGTTTAGGAACATAAAAGACAATAAAAATGATTAAAAACAGATAAAAACAAATTAAAATGAGTTAAAATAGGTTATAAAAGAATGAAAAAGAAAACGAAAAACATAATAGTGCGATCTGTCGGATGCAGCACAGTGCTCATTCAGTAAAGGCACAGCTAAACAGATGTGTTTTCAGTCTTGATTTGAATGTGCCTAATGTTGGAGCACATCTGATCATTTCTGGAAGCTGATTCCAGCAGTGCGGAGCATAGTGGCTGAAGGCAGATTCACCCTGCTTTGACTGAACTCTTGGAACTTCTAGTTTATATGATCCTAATGATCTGAGTGATCTGTTGGGTTTGTATTCAGTGAGCATATCTGTGATGTATTTAGGTCCTAGGCCATTTAGTGATTTATAGACCAGTAATAATACTTTAAAATCTATTCTGAATGTAACTGGCAGCCAGTGTAGAGACCTGAGGACAGGTGTGATGTGCTCTGATTTCCTGCTTCTGGTCAGAATTCTGGCTGCAGCATTCTGGATGAGCTGCAAGTGTCTGACTGTCTTTTTAGGAAGGCCAGTGAGGAGTCCATTACAGTAATCCACCCTGCTGCTGATAAAAGCATGAACAAGCTTCTCTAAGTCTTCACTGGAAACAAAGCATCTGATTCTTGCAATATTTTTGAGATGATAGTATGCTGATTTACTGACTGCTTTGACATGACTGTTGAAACTCAGATCTGACTCCAGAGTCACCAAGATTCTTGACCTTATAACAAGGATTTTGTATCATAATAACAACAAAAAATGTAAATAAAAGACACTTTTTCAAACTTTTCAAGATTAAATGTTGTTGGAAGAAAGCTCAAGGCCCTATAATGCAATTCAAAATCATAAATAAATGGGAAAATATGAAAAACTACTAATTTACAAATATTTTTTAGTCTGTATATTGATAGACTGAACTGACTGAATGTGTGACTCTGGAATAGAGTGCTGTTGTTTTGATAGTTTGTACATTTGCTGAATAAATTCGATGTCTGTCTGCCAGTATTCAGCGGATTTCTGGTTGTGGTCGACTACATTTGTTTTTGAAAAACCTTTGGAGAGAATAAAAGCTGGTGGAGAAAAAGACAGAATGATTGTAGGTGTTGGAGAGATGCCAGAGAAACTGCCACTGTAGAGTTGGAAACAGCTGTCCTATTTTACACAATATAAGTCACATTTTATTTTTTTTTATTAGAATTGTGGTACCACATGTTCCAAATCGACTTAAATAATGCAATTAAAAATAACAAAACATGTACAAATGCATAGATAGATAGATAGATAGATAGATAGATAGATAAATAGATAAATAGATAGATAGATAGATAGATAGATAGATAGATAGATAGATAGATAGATAGATAGATAGATAGATAGATAGATAGATAGATAGATAGATAGGTTTTCTTCCATGTTCTGTTGAAATTCTGATTAGGAATGGCTTGAAAATGTGCAATAAAATTGTTTAATGCAGGTACTGTAGTTCTACTTTAAACTAAATGCGCTTACCTCAAACATTAGTAGTAACTATAGTAACTCAGTGACAGTTAAGAGTTCATTCATCACTGACTAATCTCAAGGACATGGACATATCGTCACCAGGGAGGTGATGTTGATCAACCAACCATATACAGTAAGAGAAATAAGTATTAAACTCCCCTCTATTTCTCAGAAAACATATTTCTAAATGTGCTGTTGACTTGAAATTTTCACCAGATGTTGATAACAAATTAAAAAAAAAAATTAAAAGAAAACAAATCTGATTGGTTTACAAATTAGATTATGTGTA